TGGAGGAAATAAAGCTTACGTAAAGCTTTACAAATCTCACATTTGCAGTTTAGATAAGCAGGATGATGTGTGGTAATTTATGGGATGTACCATCTTTGCATTGGGGAATGTTGCAGCTTTCATAGCGTCGCTCCGGGTCGGTGGTGTAGCACCACGGACCGATCCGATCCCCATCCGGATTCCTGCAGTAGTTCAGCTCCAGACCATTGGTAGCTGTAGGAGTCCACCTGAGAAAAAAAAATTTTTTTTCAGTTAGTCATACACTTTGGTACAACTGGTCGTTTAAAATAAAACAAACAATGCAGTTGAAGTGACAACTCCGAAATCTGGGAGTGTCAACTTCTAGTGTGGATGAATAATATAGAAGCTGCAGCTGTTCTTAAGCCCGAGGGATGGATTCAGACAACTATGACAGAAAGTGACTGGGTTCAATCTTAAACACTTACAGATGTATTAATGGATTTTTACAAGCTGAAGAGTACACATATCTGACATAAATTTGTTTTGGTTATCACATGTAAATCTGCTATCATTTGCAGTTTTATCAGGCACACCTGTACACCACCTTCACGGTGGTGTAGTTAGAGAACTGCTGGCCACCTGATGGCTATTACTCAGATATTCATCACGATTTAATCGCTGTCAGGTACAGAGAAAAGATCTGGCTCCTTACTTTGCTCTGAAGACTGCTTATGATATTTTGCTTATCAGTTTTTCTGAAGAAAACAGGCACCCACACTGGTGGAAATAAGGCTTAAAAACAGTGAAATTTACAGATACCACAACAGTGAAAGGGGTACGAGCAGTAATGCACTCTGGCTTTCTGCCTTCAGTCTGGCTTTAAGGGAAATGAAAGACATGGTTATTCAGGAAAGTTTCTTGAATTTCCCACCTCTTCATCTCTCTCCCACAATTGGAAAATAATTATAAATAGAGCTGTGCTGTTGTTCACCTCTGAACTGAAAGTGAAATGCAGCACTTTATCTTCACAATGTCTTTTTTTCTAGTACAATGGGGACAGATGAATCATCTGAAGATGTAACTCACCTGTGATCGTGAGGAAATTTGGACCACCACTGTTGGCAGGTGAGTCCGCTTCTTGTGGTGGACACTTTGCCTCGATAGTCTTCCCCTTTACCCACAATGCACTTCCTTACATAGACTGCATAAAAAAAAGCAATCAGTGGTTACAGTATCGATGGGAAGCACTGATCTCTGTGATATCACCGATGTGAGTCTTACCCTTCTTCTCATAAAGATCACAGTTCACGTTTCTCTTCACTTCTGCATTGGTGCCATCACCCACCCAGGGCAGATGTTTACAGGTGACAACTGGACGAGTCTCATAGTTGAAAGCTCTAATGTTGAGAAATATTTTCACGTCAAAGCTCTTTACTTTCAGAGGATAAACCTAATGTCTGCAAAGTGTTTTTACATTAATCAGTGAACATTTTAAAGTTATTTTTAAGAATATTATGTTTAACATTTAACAGACAGTATACTGAAAGCCCGACTGATATACTGGCAGGGAGGACATGTCAGCTGATTGCCGATATATCTGTGTCAGCATTATTAAATAAATGCTGTCTTAACTAGACCCCGATTGGTAAAGATACAGATTTTAATATTGATATCAATACCAATATTTAATCATTTAAGACTATTCTGATATATCGGTTGATTTCTTTTTCTTTCAGGGACACAATTCACTGTTTGTTGTGTTTCTGGTGCTCCAAACATGTGTTGCAGACAGGAAAGTTCATATTTAGAAACTATGAAACAGCAACATGATGTGTTTGAAGAGTGTTTCTCCCATTTCTTCTTCTTTCTTTTAAATTTATTGGCATTTATAAATGTCGATGCTGCTGGCAATTACCTAATATCAGTAGATAGTAATGGCCCGCCATTATTATCTACTGTTCTAGTCTTAAGATGGCAAAACTATGGGGAAAGAAGCTGCAATGACAATGTTGATAGTCCAGACTGAATAAGGACTCATTCTGTGGTGGAAAGCCTCACATCATCTAGCCTTTTACTAATAAATATCTACAAGGCTAGACATTCATTCCAGGGTGGAAAGGTTGTGCAGCATACATCTTTAATGGCTTTAAAAAACAAGAATTGGGTGCACAGGTTTTAATTGACTCTAGATTTTCTCAAAGCCCTGAGTCCATTAATATTTGGTTGAATGTCCCTTAGCAAGTTGCACCTCAACCAGATGCTTTTGGTTTCCATCAACAAGTTTCTCGCACAATTCTGGCTGAATATTTGACCACTCTGCTTGGTAGAACTGGTAGAGCTCATTCAGAATGGTTGGTTGGTTTCTTGGCACGGATCCGGCTTTTAAGCATAGTCCACAAATTTTTATAGTCCAGGAGGTCAGGACTTTGTTGTGGAAAAACATTCCAGAAGTTTAATGTCAGCCTGCTTTATCCTTCCAAAATTTTTCATGTGAGTTTGTCCTGCTGATAATTTCAACCATCTAGTTGCTAATTTGAGCTGAAGAATTTGGTGGTAGTCTGCCTTTTTCATTATTCCATCCACTTTTTGCAATGTGTCAGTTGTACTGGCAGTAAAACAGCACCAGAGGATGATACTAGCACCACCTTCTCCTCTTTGTCATACTAGCCAAACAGCTAAATTTCTGTATCACCTAACCATAAAACTTTAATCGAGAAGGCATTTGGCTCGTCTGTATGGAAAGCTGCACATCTCAGTCAGCATGAAAGCGTCAATTTTGAAACGGGGGCTTCTTTCTTGGTTGACACTGTTTCAGTCCTTGGCGATATAACTGTGAACGGTGAGTCAGGTGTTCTTGGCGGTTCCTGGGTTGCTTCTGAACATCCTAATTAATTTCCTTTCATCTAAGGATAAGAGTTTAGGTATTGTTCTGGACCTTAGTAAAATTGTGACACATCAGAAAAGCTTGTACTTATGTGCAGTTGTTTAAACTGATGATCTTAGAATGTGTAGTTGTTTGGCAATGGCTCCGTTAAGCTTCTGGAATGGACTTTCCAAAGCCTTGATGTTAACCCTACTGAAAATTTGTGCACTATGCTTAATCAGAAAACTTTAATAATCCCTAAGGAAATCAAAAGCCTTGGCCGTACCAAGAAGTCAGCTAAATGAACTCCAGCATTTATGCCAAGAACAGTGGTCAAATATTGATCCAGAATTATGCCAGAAGCCTGTTTCTTTTACAGATGATTTTTTTGGCCTTTTAGCCTTTATTGGATAGAGGCAGGAAAGCAAGGAGAGGGCTGTGGGACTCGAACCTCGGTGTACTTCTCTGCGGTCATACGGGAAATGGTCGCCTGCTAACCCACTGAGCTAAACCAGCGCCCAGAAGCTTGTTGATGGCAAAAAAACAAAAAAAAGCCCCTAATTGAAGTGCAATTTGCCAAGTTGCACTTCAATCATAAGCACCTTCTATTGACTAACTATTAATGAGGGTGTATACTTTTGACCCTGTGTGAATTAGAGAGAATTCAAAATATATCAAAAAAGTTTTTCGCCCAATTCCAAATTCCCAAAGTGACAATGACATCCACATCTATTATGAGAATATGTTTTAAGTTTTTGGTCAATTTATAAGCAAAGTCCTTTTGCAAACTGTAATCTTTAAGTAGTTTAAGTGTGTTGTTTACCTGCAGTCCAGTGACTGTGAGCAGCGTGTGGCACAGTCCTCAAGGTTCAGGCCTGGTAAAATCTGCACTCGAGCAGAGTTCCAGGAGGTAGGAACGAGCTCTCGGCCCTCCGAGCGCTGGAAGTCATTCAGAGGACTGCGGTACCCTGTTCATGTATAACAAACCACAAACATAATGCTTACAGACTGATGTGGGGACCATGCATTATCTGCATCTGTTTAGTCCTGGTTTTAACTGGAGAGCAGTGGCACCACATGGAATATTTGGGCAGGAGCCTGGACACATATAACCTTTGGACCAACGCTCTGCTGCTAGTTTGAGACAGCAGATATCCAGAAAAGGTTTGAACAGCAACAGTTACACTACTGGTAACTCAAACAGGCCCCAATTAACACAGATACTGCCAGTATACACTAATGAAATGATAAAATCCATCACATACTAATAGTGGTGCTGTCAAAATGAAAATAGCTGTCTTTTAAAATAGTTTATTTGTTTTGAAAGTGCTCATCAGTGCAGCTTTAATTTCCCCCTCAACCATAAATCGATGGTTTTTCAACGTGATTGTTGTCACCTTGTCAACTATAAATAGATCAACAATCAATGATGACAGAACAACAGTGAATCAATGTTATTTCAATGTCAGTGTCAGGTTTCATCAGTATTTCAATGTTGTTTCAACATTGGTTTTGTGTTGACATTTCAATCCTGACGATTCTGATGGTTCAGATGGAAAATCAACATCTGTTCAATGTCTCCTTGCTATCTGGGCAGTCTGTAAATAGGCCTCATCTTTAACCAAATAGATTTAAACAACCAAAAATAATGAAAGTAGACAGAATAACTAAGAAATTAATCAAACTTACCAGTGACCACTCCGACAGTCAGGAGAATGCACTGCAGAAACGGTTTCATTGTTTGAATCGGTGGAAAATAAAACTATTATAATCACGTTATGGGGGTCAAAACGAGATCTCTGCTCTAAAATCTCCTCTATTTTGATGCCGTGGTCAACTTCAAACAACGAACAGCTCGACCTGACAGGCAGAAAAATACCCCCAGAAGCTCAGCACGATGTTAAACATCCACACAAAAAGTCTAAATCACGACCACCCACACGCCAGCGTCGCGCCTTTGCTCAAACAGTGGCCCTAATCCCCAAAACACAGCCGATCAATACATGTATTAATCATTAATGAGGAGTGGCACATTGGTCCTTGTTCATGAACCTTCTTCATGCCCCTCAGATATATAAATATTTGCATCAGGATTACGCTCAATATCCTGAAAAAAAAAAAGAAGAAAACTTGTGATTTTCTTTTCTGCCACAATGAACGCAATTCTCGCCACAAACGCTAGACGTCAGTAGGGCGATTTCCAAAGGTTTGTCTCTTTCTCTTGTTTTCCGGGGGAGATAAACTGAAGCTAAGCTGCAGCTGGTTCAAGAACCTGTCTGACTTTCTCTGTTTTGCACCTTTAATCATCGGGGATTCACAGTCGGGTAAGAAAAGGGAAGGAGGGGGTTGTTATTCTGTCGCCACGTGTGTTTTGAATGATGAGCATAAAGCACCTAGATAGGCGAGTTCGATGTAAAATAAAAATGATCTAATCTGGACTTTGATCCGACTTGTTTAACCCGCAGCTGCGCACACACTTCTGTCTGCTGATTATGCGTCCGTGGAACATCCGATTAAGTCCACGCTGATCTTTGAAAGCACGGGGATCGTGGACAAACTTCTTTAAATAGTCTATTAATAATTCTCCAGGCTTCTTGAATGACATTCAAAGCTTTTCTTCGGATGTCGGCTTTTGTTCTGTTCTCTCTCGATCGTGATGATCTTGCACTGCTTCGATAATGTTGAAGTCTGAGCTCTGTGGAGACCAATTCATGACTGATAGTGTTATCAGATATGCTTTTACCAGACTGACAGTGTGTTTGGGATCATTATTGTGCTGGAAAATGTTACATAAAGTTACATGAAGTTTATCTTTCTGTGCTTGCACTTTGTAAGGAAAACAAAGCAAATGAAGTTACATCATTGCATTTTTATGGTGTACACCCATTATGGTTGGGAATTTTATTTTTTAGCATCTCCACAAGACTTTCTCTCTCTGCAAAGAAATATGGTCTTCTCTTGGAGTGATCTTTAATTCTGTCAAGAGACAAGAGAAGAGCTTCACAGAAACTGGCGGCATAGAAGATGATTGGGTTTTCCACCTGAAGGAACTAATATTGTTAAAGAGGAGGAAAAATGGGAGGGTATAACAGTGTGGAAACCCATGTGAAATAACTGCTTTCTCTTTCTTCTGTTGTTGTTCAGGATGGCAGCTGTTAAAATGACGGAGGGTACAGTGCAGGTGGAGAGCTGCAACGCGCCACTGTTTTACAGACAAAGCGAACCTGTGACAGGAGAAGCAAAAGTGTCGGTTCTGCTTCTTCACGGCATACGCTTCTCTTCAGAAAACTGGCTCAGCATCGGCACTCTGGAGACGCTGGCCAAAGCGGGTTGCCGCGCGGTCGCCATCGACCTGCCAGGTGCGTTTGTCAGGGAACAAACACCATCTCCTTCCGTCACTCAGCTTTTAACTGAAAAGTCAGCATGACCAATGAAGCGCAGCAAGGCAACAGGCTGCCACCGGCACATAAAGAGCTCCTAAAAGTCTCAGGGTCAAACTTTTGGCTCTTCGCTGTTTTGAATGCTCGCAAATATTAAATTGGGACTATTGACAGTAATACCTAATTGTGTGGCCCTATGCTAACCCTTCTGAAAATGAAAACCAAACATATTAATTAAATATAAGCTGGGATATATGAGTTATAACTTGTTTTAATTTTTTGTTTGCAATTTATTGCTTAAAACTTTTATTTTAAAAATGTAAGTTTTTCAACAAAAAGTCTCAAAAACTCTGTTTCTTAACTTTCTTATTGTTGTTTATATTCTAAACTTTTTATGAGCGCTTTTTTAAAGCTAGCTGTGTCCTGTCGTTTTACCTATTTTCATAGCTTTAACTTTTTGCATTATATTTATGGATATGTATTTGCTGTTGGCATCAGGACTTTGGCTTTGTTTGGAAAGTCAAATGTGCATGGGGGCTCAAATTTGAAGTGAACTGAATTGCTTCCATGAGTCATTGTTACAGCCTGTGTTCTGCTTGTTTTTAGAATCTGGTATTTTTGTCTCATGCTTTGACAGCCTCTAGTGATGATCTGGCAGGCACTCTACAATTTATATAGATCACTGAGGCAGCATGGGCCCAAAAGAAAAATGTTTGCCTTGGGGACAGTAATTACGTTAATAAGTGAGTGTCCATCAACAAACCTTACTCCTCTCCTCCTCTTCTTTTCTCGTGCCTCCCCTCTCTCCACAGAACTTGGTCAGTCTAAATCGGCCAAAGCCCCGGCGGCAGTGGGAACACCCGCCCCTGCAGGTTTCCTCAAAGAGGTGTTTGAGCAGCTGAATCTAACCCCGGCGGTGGTGATCAGCCCATCCCTTAGCGGGATGTATTCCCTGCCCTTCCTCCTCGAGCACCAGGCTCTGGTGCGAGCCTACATCCCTGTCGCTCCCATCTGTACGGACAAATTCACAGCGGAGCAGTACCAGAGCGTAAAGGTAGAGTCTGTGTGTGAGGATATGCCTCTGCTTGATATTCCTTTGTAGGTTCCTCTCCTGCAAAAGTTTTTTTTTCTCTTTTTTGGTATAGTATATGCACTGTCATTTCTTTTTTTAAAGGATAACTTGAGCAGCTGTGAATATCATCCAATTTTCCAACTCTTCTTTTTAAAAGAGACAGTGACTTTACCTGCACAGATGCCACTGGCTTTCATCCAGCTCAGAAATGTCTTAATGGCAAATCAATTGTAGGCACATTAGCCTGAAAAGCGATTTGTCTAATTTACATATTTAGAACAAGCACTTACCTTAACAAAATTTGCTTTCCTTTACAAACAGTTTAAATGCAGAAGTTGTACATTCTTTTTTTTATTTTAATCCAAACAATATTCTAAAGACTCAGCTCACACATTAAAGTCTCAGCAATTATAACGCAGCAAGAAGATTGGCACGAACAGGAGCAGTTTTTCTGTATAATGAGTGTTTTTAGTTTTAAAGGATGTTTTGCAGAGAATACTTTCGGATATCATATTTAATCTTTTATTAAGTGTTTTAAAAGGCACACTGTTGGTTTTATAAATAACAGTTAAACAGCTAACGGGGAATGTTTAGTGACCAAGTTTTACTTTACAAGAAAGATCCTAAAGATTTTAAGAAAAAAAATCAGATAAATGAAATTTAGCAATTTTAGAAATAAGATGGAGATTAGAAAACACTTATCATAACTGCTTAAGAAATTACAAAGAAGCTGGTCAACCCAGGGAGCAGAGTAAATCTGGTTCTGACAGTATGTTTGCGCTAAGTACCGCAGCAATTTCCTAATGTTGTAAACCTGCTCAACATTTGGCAATAAAACCCTTTCTGATTCTGAAATCATTAAAAACCCAAAGGGTCTCTGCGCTTCATACAAAGAACCTGCTCCTCTGTCCCTTTTGTGATAGGTTGTTACAGGCCTCTGTATTTGTATCTCCACTTTCAGCAATCTCTTAGCAAACGAAGAGACATCGGAGCAGCAGAGTAACTCAAAAGATGGACCATAGAGTAATAAATGCAACTTACTGATGATAAAAAAAAAAGCATAAAACAAACATTTATGCTGTCATTAAGTGTCAAAGTGTGTTACAACTAAAATAACTAAGCCGGAGTAACTGCATTCATGTGTATTTCTGCAATGAGGGTTCGGAACTTTAATGCAGTGAAGATGTGGGAAACGATTAAGTTGTATTCACAAGTTCTTCAGGTTTTCTGATGAAGTAATCTGATCGATGTTTTGTACCAGTTTAAAAAAAAAAAAAACTGGTACAAAAATAAATGCTTTTTATAACCTTTTACTTGTAATAGAGTTTGTTCATATTGCTGTATTTTTTTTTTAATAAGATGAGAGATCTGAACGTCTCTTCTCAGGCTGGAAAAACTAAGACTGTAGTTTTTCTCACTTTTTATAATTCTTATTGACTACTAGACACATAAATCTGTTACACCTAAAATCTTTTAGTCTTAGCTTTTCACAGGACTTGTTTTGATTTCCTTCTTTCCTTTTTTTTTTCCAGCTTGAGGTGAAATTTAGGACATCTGCAAAATCCCTTTAGCTATGGGTTTGAATTTAAAAACAAATAAAAGAGAGACAGATTTTCAAATGCAAGAAAAAGGACAGTGGAAATCACTCTGCAAAGGGCTCTTTTTTTTTTTCTCTTTTCTCATTATTGTTGTGATTTTTGTGTCCAGGTCCCATCGCTGATTGTTTACGGTGACCAGGACCATCAACTCGGGGAGGTGTCGCTCCGTAACCTGAGCAATCTGGCCAATCACAAAGTGGTGGTGATGAAGGGAGCAGGCCACCCCTGTTACCTGGACGACCCAGACACTTGGCACAAAGCTCTTACAGACTTCCTTAACACGCTGTGAAGCTCTTTGCTGTGCATTAGCAGCGCGATCGCCAAGAATGCGGTCACGCATAGGCAAACACATTAATCACTTGTGAAGAATTGAACTCACGTATTCCCAATGCTTAACCTGATTTGTATGTTTTGATACGTCTGCAAATCGGGCCTTTTCTAATGGTGACAGCAGTTGAACTTTTCCTTAAAAGGTTGAAGCCTGAAGCTTTTTGAGAAATATTGTCTCTTAAATGAGAAAACCTGATGTCAGTCTTGAATCTGTACACTAAACACAAAGCTCAAGTCTGCAGCCGACTACTGAACCCAGGCGTGTAGGATAACGACACGTGGTTCACCCACATCACTGAACAGCGTCCAGTATTTCCACTCTGGAAATTTTGTTTCCTGTTTCGTTGTTGTAAAATATTTCGTTTGAGTAATTTTGGTTTAATTTAGGTGACTGAAGCTACTGTTCACTAACATTATATAAAATGACCGTGGTTGTTTTAGTGTTTGAGTGCACACAAAACTGCAAGTCTTCCAACTGTCACCTGGTCAAGGCTGCGAAGCAAGATAGAAATGTGTTAAACATGTGTCGCTTTTATGTCTCAGTGTTTCTGTCCTAATGCAGTTTATCTGACTTTGCAGTAATCATTACAGAACTGCCTGAAATCAGCACGAACGATGCCTTAAATTCGCCAAAGACCATTTTTCAATATAACCCAAGTTTTAATAAAAGAATGACACTTTATGCCTCACACACTGAAACTCTGTAATTATGAAGCAATCAGAAGGGAGCATGTTATGAACATGGCACAAACAGAATAAAGTTCAAAGAGAGCAGGCTGCAGGTCACTTTCATGTCTCTGCACCATGTTACGTTTGCCAAATGCTAGCTGCCTACACATTGCACTCATACACACCAGGGTTGTATTAATCGTCTCATCCCAGCGTTAGAAGTGAATATTTTTAATAAAGCATCATAATTATTATATATTTGCTTGGTTCTCAACAGACTGTGTGTTTTCTATTTAACCGAGGAGTTAAAGCAGGTAACGTCAAACTGATTTTACATCACGGGCCACAGACAGCTTCGACTTCAAGTGGGTCAGCCCAGTGAAAGTACATGAGAAACACGTAAAATTACAGTTTAGTTCATTACCCAGCTGATGTTTCTGGGTAGATTGTGGAAAAGCGGGAACTTTTCTGTCATTTAATTGTTTATCTATTACTTAATGACTTTAGGATAGTATGAATAGCAATGTGGTGCTGTCTTTATCAATAGGAAAATCTGTAAAACCCACAAAAAACCAGTTAAAAATCTATGCACTCGTTCACATTTTCCAGCCAGATTGGAATTTTTACTGGGGAATTTTTCCACCCCCCCCAAAAAACAAAACACCACACAATAAAATGAAGTGAAAAATATGAACATTATTTAATAACTGATTCTCTGTAATAAACAATTTGAAAATATTTTACAAGGAGTCACAGACACAATATTTTACAAATTTTGCCCTCTTCTTTTTTGTTTTCTTCTTCTTTTTTTTAAGCTTCGTCTGTACAAAAGAATGGAGCGACGACATGGACTAGTGCCCAGAAAAGAAGGAGCTAAATCTTCCACACATACAAACATTCACACTCACACACGTACGAGGAAGAAAAGAAAAACCAAAAAAAAAAAGAAAACATTTTGACATCAGATCTCAAACTTATCAACAGTGCTGTATTCCTATATTTTTTTAAACTTCACTGAAAGTTTGACTGAATTTACTCTTTTTTTTTTCTCTCTAAATTGTTGCTGTTATTTTTTTCACACACGTGTCAAACATGGTCACATAGCACCAGACTACAGACTACAGAATCACATACACACGTGTCTTTCCCACATAGACGCACCAACACAAAGGGTCGCAGCGAGGGTCGGTGGAGGGGAAGGGAGACGCTTCGTGAAAACCCGCATTAATCTACTTTAGGGTGATGTTTTAAAGCTGACCCCTCCCTCTCGTCCCCCAAGCTGGTCCAATTATCTATTTATGTTCCCTTTTTTTGGCAAAATTAAATTTGTCAAACCACAGAAATCAGACATGTGTGTCCCTTCGGAAGCTATTTTCCATCAGGATGCACACACAGACGTCACTAGATGTCTCTCCCACGACCTTCTGTTTACCAGGCTCGTGATGCTCTGTGGAGACCCACTCCCTGAGCTTGCCTCTGACATCCCGTCCGCTCATGAAAAAATAAATAAAATAAAATAAAATAAAAACACCTGGAAGGTGACGTCCTTGGCTTACTTCTTCCTGGTGTTTGACATCTCCCAGTGGGGGATGAGTCAGTGTCATTACATGGTTGCTTCTAGGTGTGTGCGTGTGTGTGTGCATAATGTCTGAGTGCAGGTGCACAGAGTGTATTCAGTTTGGGAGTGAGATTGTGTGCGCACACAGTCAGGAAAAGGAGAGTAAGTTGCAGGGGGTACATTTCCACAGGCACGTGTAGCGTTCATTTACAGACAGTGGAAATAGAGAAATACAGACAGAATAGTGGCACAGGACAGAGACAAACAGATGGCAGAAAAGTGAAACTGCATCCAGCATCAGATAGTAACGGGCCACATTGGAAATGCTCATTCTGATTTTCATTGTCTTTAACAGTATGAATTTTGTTTTTCCTCTGATTTGTCCAGAGCTGAGCTGCAGTTACTGTGCCAGCAACATTTGTCACATCAAATAGTACCTACGACTGTACAGAGTGTCTAGTTAAGCTTCAAAATGTCGAGTGAATCATCCCACCTGAGCAATACTACGGCAAGTCTCGGGTGGGATGTGAACATCGAAGGTCAGAGGCTTTTTTTTCTTTGTCTTTTTTTTTTTTTAATTTTAAAAACTTCCACCCACTTTCAAGCATTTAATCAAACAGGCATCGATCGATAACTAATCATTCCGAGACGTAAAAATATAAAATTAGAGCTCACTATATTTACTGCATAACACCAAGAAAAAAAAAAGCCCAGGGGAGGGAAATACTTCAGGATCGATTTGTGTGTGAGAAAGAGGGTTATGTGGGGGTATCGGAGCTCCATACGTGTAACACTAAGGCATTTAGCGAGGTTTTGAAACAGAAAACACTGATGAACTACACATTCTTTCTGCCTCCTCTGCCCCCGTATATTAATATTTAAGCAGTCAACATGGATCTCCTTTTGTTTTCATAAAATCCCCCCCTTTTCTCCACAGCAACACTGGATTTGTTTTTTTGTCTGACGCAACACGCCGAGGAAAAACAGTTACACGAGCACAACTGCCATCCCCCGAGCACTCCACGACTCATTTAAAAAGACATTCCCTTTGAGGGTTTTTAAACTAACGCGCATACATCCACACACAAACACATACGATTCAGGCAGAACTATAGCAGTCAGGTGGCCCTAAAAGAAAGGAAAAGAAAACAACACAAAAAAAGCTCTATGGCCAGTTAAGTCGCTGTATACTGATAGTGTAGCTCTATACATGGCTTTGTAAAGGAACGGTATAGTAACTCCATATGATGACAGTCAGGTGGCGTTGGAGGAGTACAGCAACAACAGCCAAGAGGGGAAAATACATTAAGCTGAGCCAGTCAGTTCGATGGCTCTGTGTAAAGCTATTTCTTTAGCCAACAGATTCAGTCTTAGGCTCCTGTAGTGTCCAAAGCCTCAAAGACGGCTGCTTTATAAAGGTACTATACAGTAGCTCTACTCTTATACAGCCGATGCGTTCCAAAACAAAGTGCATCAAGGCACTATGAAACAGAGCGGCTCCTAAACATGGGAGTCTAAAATGACTTTTCACACATGATCAAATGACGGACTGCGATGGATTACAACCACACTACTTACTGCACATGATCACCATATTTAGTGGCCTCTTCTGCACTTTTGTTGGAAATGTTGATAAGCCCCTATCCCCCAGCAGCGAATGGTTTTGAAGTTTGAACAGCATCAGTCAAAGGTAATACAAGCACACACCAAAAGAAAAATGATTAGCATCCCCCCCCCAACCCAAGCACAGATGAGGAAGAAAGGAAGGGACAAAAAAACTGGAACTACTATGGCGGGGAGATTTGAGTGTGTTTGCTGTGTGACAAAAGTAAAGCACGAATACAAATCGCGGTTAGGAGCGTTAGTCGAGGTTGTTGGAGAAGCCTCATGAGGAGTGGCAGAGGTGAGCTTTTTCATCAGAGGGTGCAGAGATTTTTTTTCCCCTTTAAACATCAGTCCAAAGCCGAGGTCAGCATGGTCGATTAATCGTAAAGGAGAATACTACACAACAAGTTCCTGCAGCAACCGAACACTGATTCATATTTTACAATAAAAGCCAGATAGCACTAACCTCAAATAGTAAGTATGAGGAAAAATACTTCAAGAAAATGAGATTACCATCGTGTAATTACATTAATCCCCAGTGGATGTCTTTTAAAAGCATTAATCTGTAATTATGAGTCAGCATTCAGCTGCCGAGTGTCTCCTCTTCCTCTCGAGCTTTATCCTAAATCTAAATCCATTTCCTCTTCGTGTTTTGGCTATAAAAATAAGACCACACGAAAGTATATCTCATTTTGGCAAGTAGATATAGCGCATAAACTAATTCTTGTCTTTTTTACACTTAACTTCCTTTTCATGTTAAAACCTAAATATACTGTATGTTTAGAATACTCATCACTTCAGCAGTTTATACGTGACATTTTGTATACTTAACAGTTCTTTTATTTTTCTGCTATTTTTCTTCTATGGTGGCTATTACTGGCTGAATGGTCCACAGCCTCTTACAAGAGGCAAATGACAGAGCGATGAGACTCTGAGATGGAGGAAAGGAGAAGGAGGAGGAGTCCTGCTGTCCCTCTGACAGACAGAGGTGAAGGTGGACACGCAACCTCAGTTCTCCAGTCTGTGGTGGGAGGTCTTTGACGAGGAGATCGGCCTGTCCTTTTCACCCTCCCTTGTCTGGATGGAGAAGGTGGTGGGATGGTTGTAGGCTTGACGGGGTGGTTGGGTGGCTTGATATCTCTTTTCTGACATTGCCTCTGATGATCCAAGTGGTCCAGCACCACCCTAGCTCATCTTGCAGATGAAGGTGAGGACGCAAATGTCTCTCTGTTTTCACAAAGCAACACAGACCAAAGCAAGCTGGGTAGCGCAGCGCTCAGGGCTTCCAACTCACCATGATGGGAAGTCCCATAATTACCTATGACTATACCAAGGTGGAGGGCGAAGGGGCTAGGAGGTGGATGAGGGGGGCTTAGGATGGGACAGAAGCTGAGGAGGGTGAAAAGGAGGACAAGTGCAGGAAAATGAAATTAATGTAGTAGGGAGAGAAGGTGAGGACTGACAGCTGGATAAAGCAGAAGCAGCTGAATGAGCAGTAAAGTGTAGAGGGATGGGCGGAAGGAGTGACCTCGCCCGCAGTCCGACGTGTTCTCCTGCAAAACCACAGAAAGGAAGCTTGAGTTATAAACTGAGTTTATATGAAAGTTCTTCCACCATTAAATAAACACTTACATTCAATAATCGCTCTCTGGTAACACTTTTATCTTACCTTCTATCTGCATCGAGCTCTATATTGCCAACAGAGTCTGAACAAAGTAATTTTCATTTAGTTGACAATACAGTGCTGTGAAAATGTAATCGCCCCCTTCCTGAGTTTTTAGTGTCGTTGAAGTGTTTTTGTATTTGCCACAGTTCATCAAACAAATTTTAGTATTAGACAAAAACAATTTTATTAAATGAAGATTTCATTTATTAAGGGATAAAGGCTATCCATACCTACCTCGCCTGATGTGAAAAAGTAATTCCTCCCTAATGCTGAGCAGACACTGTGCGATTTTTTCAGTCGCGCGATTCAGCTCCTGCTCAAACTGTACGATTGACTCGCAGGGGTTAGAAGTTCATAGGTCACGATGCAGGGTCTCACACTATACGGCTCGATGCTCTGATGCGACCTGAGTGCTCACACTGTGCGTCCATAAAATGAAGGTTATAACAGAAATTCTGTCGCTCTCCCTCTCTGTCTTTCACTCACACAGACACACCACCACCATCAACTTTGCTAAATTGCTAATGAAAAACATGATCAGGCAGCTGTGATTGAGCAGCAGTGTAAATCCAACTATTTTCAAGGTTGTTGTGTCGTGATAATTTTGTGAGGCCACATCGAAAAGGCTCGGATGAGCTTTCCAAAGTTCTACAAGTTGTGCCTCCATCGCTTGTGTCCAGATCACAGGCTGCACTGCCGTGCTGCGCCGTCTTTTTCGCTGACATTTGTGTTTGCGCGTGTGCAGTGTGGCAAACTGCGGTGACACCCTCACGACCAAGCGATTGATGATCGGGAGCTGGTCGTGAGGTGTTAATCGCGTCTCGTTACCCCACGTATACTACACGATGCACGACGCACGATGAAGGCCAAAATCGGGCCGATCGCCAAAACGGTCGCACGACTCAAAAATCGGCTCAAAATGGGCCAAAAATCGCACAGTGTAAGCCCAGCGTTAACCTAATAACTGGTTGTGCCACCTTTGGCAGCAAGAACTGCAATTGAGTGTGAGCGAGATGTAAATCTTTAAAAGTGTACACACAATTTTTGTTAGTTTTGCCTCAGTACACTTAATGCAACAAATTTCACAAAATCCCTTGAATTAAAGCATCTTGATTGTTTGATTTTTGAAATCCACTGCTGTGGTGTAC